GTAAAGTTGCTGACAAAGTGAGAGGAATTGAGCGCCAAGTTCCTGTTGGCAAGCCACATACTTTACGCTTCATTCTCTTAATTAACATTATTTGTACAATAAATCATTTGACTATAGTGGCGCAAAATACCAGATCGCAAGCCCTTAATCGTATAACGAGGTCTGCAGGTGGACGGAATCCAGTCTGTGCCGAAAAGACGGGTGCAGCAACACAGCCACCTTCTAAGATCCCTATAGCACTATTACTTCAGGCACGGCATTCGTTGAAATCGGCAAACCCCTGTAGTCGGACTGACAGTATCACATCTGCAGTCATACCGTTAGTGGAAAATAAAGCCTGGGGGAAGGGCGCCACGTCTGACATCACCCTACGGAAAGTAAGCCACTCAGTCGTCAACAAAGAGCAGACCTCTGACGACTGTGGTGCTTGCAAAGAATCGGTGTTGGAGGCTCAGAAAGCCTTTGAGTGCAACATAAGTCTTAGGTGGGCACACTGTAACTGTGACAATGGTTTGCCGGGGCAGTACTACGGCTTCATGAGGTAGTACCCCTGTAAATGGATGTAGTATATATACCCAGAGTGTCGCCACTCACCAGCTATCACCACTGGCAAACCGGAAAACCTGGTTCAGCCAAAAACGTTACAGGGAACGAGCTCCATTAATCTCCCCCCAGAATGCTGTCTAGCTTCACAGGTGCGCAAAAATGCTACAAATAGGGGTGGGAAGAAATTGGCTTCCACTCCAAGTGAGACACCAAAAGGTCTCGACTTGTATCACCGCCACTCAGACTATCCAACGGGACCGAACAGCCTAAGTAAGTAGGTTGCTCTGGGAATGAATGGACGGAAGAGGATGGGGTAGGGGTAGGCCAAAAGCACTGGCTACCGAGCTCGATGTTCCACACTTATGGGACAAGAGAACGGATTCTATCATTCCGTTCAACGTCCCTACACTAATAGACCCACTGTTAGAAAAAAGAGAACAGTCTGACAAGGAGAGGTGGGATGATTACTGAAGAAAATTGGGAATAGAAACCACCGAAGTCAACTTATGCCGGCTACCCCGGGGAAGTAGAGCACCTCGAGACAAACGCCACCTCTCAGGATACCAGCAATGACGGGAAGCAGTCGGAGAACATACTACTGCCGTCGCAGCTACCAGACATTGCAGGCGCTTGCCCCATAAGGGTGAAACCAGGAAAACCCTGGGTCACCAGAGAGGCAGAGGAAAAGTCCCTGCCTAGTGATCTGCACGAAACTACAGTCATGGTGGTGCACAGAATTCCCGAACTGGCGGGTGGATCCACAAAGCGTGATAATTACCCTCATGATATCGAGCAGTGGAGATGGTTAGCGGCAAAAATGGGACTTGGGAACTCGCCTGCCATCAGCATAAGTAGGTTACCAAGACCCACGCACTTGCAGAGCACCTTCTCGCCAAGGTTGCTGGCTGTGCGCTTTGACTACAAAGTATCACTGACAGAAGCTCTCACGGCACGGTACCGTGTGAAAGACTATATAGAAGGAGCTATACGATACTATGAGGGTAAACCACGAGCTGCCAAACAGGAAGATGGGAGGCAACCTCCGAGAACACTATCAGCAATACTAGTCAGAAAAGAATTAGCTAGCGAGCTACCTGTAGGCACAATAAACAATACTGCCACATCAGCAGCAAGATGTCAAGAGGGGCCAAAAACGGAGGCCTGCTAGTCCTTCCTGGACTGGCAGGCAGAATCCGGCGCAGTGACACACCAGCCTCCAAACAAGTCCCCATATTGCATTAAGCCTAGAACGTAGCTCTTTAGCATGCTTCTACAGCAATGTGAGAGGTCTTAGGAGTAAACTACCGGAGCTAAGAGCAATGTGCCACAACCTGCAAGTAGGCACGATTCTCCTCACGGAGATGCGGCTGTCAGGAGACACAGTGAATGAGAAAATATGCTTGCCTAACACGACCCTGTTCCGAAAGGACAGGCAGGTCAAAGAAGGCGGAGGAGTTGCCATATATACTAGCGCTCATCTAAGAGTCAAGAAAGAGGCTGGTGGCGCTTTCAGCTTACTACCAGATTCCTTATGGTGCTACTTCACCACAAACCAGACCAAGTGCCCAATAGGAGTGGTATATAGGCCTCCCTTCTGTACGACAGAGCAAAAGGCATAATTGCCCAGTGCCGGCTCAATAACCAACCCGGCAGCCTATGACCATGTAGTCCTCGCTGGAGACTTCAGCACACCGACACTCAACCCGAGGTTTGAAGTAAGATGTGGGCATAGATCTTTCGAACACAAATTCAAAGTACCTTCATGGTAGCCGGACTGGTAGAGGAGGTTGGGGAAAACACCAGATGGGGACCAGATAAAAAAAGGGATCACCACTCGACTACTTTCTAACAGACTATGGTCTTTTGGTGGACAATATCTGTGTCCAACCCCCCAGGTAAAAGCGATCACGCACTGGTGAGATTCTCTCTGGTAACCAGGGGGACACTACCAATAGTTGAGCCAGAAGCGTTCCGCTGTTACCGAAAAGCAGACTACCGCCTCATGAACAAAGAATTCCTGGGGGCTGCATGGCCACAAGAATGGCACTCACCATCGATAAGCAAACACTGAATGCAGATTAAAGATATTATCTGGAGTGCTATCGAAAAGAGTGTTCCAAAATCAACCAGATGGCCACCTCTCAAACGGTCTTGGGTGACTCGCACAACCCAAAGGCAAGTAGAGGGGAAAAAGAAGTCGTGGTACCTGTGGCTTGCATCACGCAAACAATCAGATCTTTATAACTACAAGACCTTGTGAAACTTGTGTAACATAAGAACCCGTAATGACAGGTATACATACCAAGGCAACCTGGCTGAACGTTAAGCTGCAATCCGAAAAGTCCGCATCGGTTTATGTCACAACGCAAACCAACGATTAAGGGCTTAAACGTGGTCACAGGGCCGGCCGGCGAACCCTTGAACAACAGTGAAATAGCGGAGCTGTTGAGCTGTCGATTTGACGAGCAACTCAACCCAGTAATACATCCGCTACCAGGGGTCTGAGATGTAAAGCTGATGAAAGTGAAGTTTTCGTCAAACCAAGTGTTTATGGAACTTTCAACGCCGAGATCAAGGAAATCCCCGGGCTGTGACGACATAAAACAGGTTGTCTTACGCAAATGTACCGAAGTACTAAGCATACGCACATGCAGCGCGTTCACGCACTCGCTGGGAGTAAGTCAACTCCCCAAAGAATGGAAACGCGCCATCCTGTCGTCAATCTCAAAGGGGGGAGACCGAAAGAACCCGTGTCACTACAGCCCAATAGCACTACCCCCATACTTCCCAAGGTACTTGAGAAGCCTGGTTGCAGATGTTGTTTGGGACTGCCTTAGCAGAAGCAACATCGTCCGTCCCACCCAACATAGCTTCAGAACCGGGTGGTCATGTGCCACAAACTTGATGACCGCTCGGGATGACTGGACTACTAGATGGGACAACAAACAACCCCGTTCACTTTGTCTTCTTGGACTTGGCCAAAGCTTTTGATAGCGTCCCACACCGCACTGTGCTCACCAAACTAGCGAAAGTGAGTATCACTGAACCACTCTTGGCATGGCTTACAGCATGCCTACAGGATAGAGAATTATGCACTAAAGTAAACAGAATTAGACCAACTTGGAGGAACGCAAGAACAGGAGTTTCTCAGGGAGCAATCCTTGGACCACTCCCATTTTTACTATTCATAAACGACCTTCCGACTTAAAATCTCCTCATCTATCCTTTTATTCGCCGACGACATCAAAATGTAGAGAACGATAGGCGACGAAGAGGATCGTGGGACACTCCCAAACCACCTGTTGCAGCTAGAGTCCTGGTCAACTGCAAACGCTTCAGGCTTTAATCTGGAGAACTGCAAGGTGATGTATCTCCGCACACCACGGGTGACGAAAATCAACTACTCTCTTAACAAACGTGCGATCACTAGGGTATCCTCGGAGAAGGACCTAGGACTAAACTTTTCTGACACACTGGATATTACTGGTATTTATAAGGGAATGGCAGCAAAGGCGAACAATATTATGCACTTTCTGAGAAGGCAACTTAGATTGTTAACCCCAGAGTTATTCCTCATGGTATTCGAAACCTACGTTAGACCACACCTAGAGGTGTTCGACAAGATAGCCCCTCCACTACTAAAGAGAGACGCAAATTCTCTCGAGAAGGTACAAAGAAGAGCAACAAAGTTGGTTGCCGGACTAACAGGCGAAACACATGCGCAACCCCCAAGACAACTCAGCTTGTTCACACTATAAGCTATTGAAGAAAACTAGGCCATCTGATAACAGCCCACAGGATCATTCACCAAGTGGACCACCGAAATAGGACAGCACTATTGGCCCGAAACCGACAATCCCGTGGGAACCCCACTCATAAACCCCACCATGGGGCAAAGACTAGAGTGAGATCTAGCTTCTTCTCCCATAGAGTATGTGTCTTATTGAAAGAGCTGCCGAAAGAGGTGGCCACAGCTACATCAGTCAACTCTTTGAAACTACTACTGGATGAGTATGTGTATGAGTATGGCTTGCCACGAACATTTGTTAGTGGCAACCGATGAGACACCCTCCCACCCCTGTGTTCCATAACACTAGCATCTGTAGTAAGACTCCCCTCTCCTCTATATTATTACCAGTCACATTTATCTTTTCAAAAGTACTTTTCACTTCTCTTTTTCTCATTCCCCGCTCACCCCGTTTCTATCACTAGTTAAGCAATGCTTAACACTTACTTGCGGGTGCATACAACAACAGGAATTGCAGACGGTTGATTGATCTTATCAGCAGCTCCGTTGCCCCCCCCCCCTAAACAAACCAAGCTACAATTTACAAATAAAACATCTTCAAATAGACAAACACTACCTCCAAAGCTATAAGCAGGAAAACGTAAAGACCTCTGCGACCACTGAAGGAGTACGACCGAACAAAAAGAAGCCTCAAGACCTAGAAGCGAGAGCTCAAAAACTGCAAGTTGACGTTGGATGTTGGATGAAGCGGTAGAACTGTAGAACTGTGCTACGGCATGTTTAGTGTGTTGTTGTGTCTTTCGCTACTGACTACCTTTATTATTTTGGTAGTTAAATTTTTTCAGTGGCAAGCCCAGTGTTGGTTTTGTAGTTTTTATATGCGAGTACCATGGGTGAACAGGAACTCATTTGTTTGCAGACAGTGTGGTCAGTATAATGGATTCACACGTGATGGAGACTATAACAAAGTGATCCTGTCCCAGTTTAGTACAGAGCTGAACCCGTTTAGTAGATACCAGGTAAATGCCTCAATATATTCTGATTTTTTTAGACTCCCAAAACTTTTAAATCGAACTCTGACGTCCTATGTTCAAACTGCACTGATAATCAAGCCATTATTGTTCGAAAGCTGTCTGAGTATGTGCCTCAAAATGAACATTCAGCTGAAGAAATCAAAGGATATGCGCGTGTACTCGAGTCAAAGTATGGCTTATGTAAAATTTGCTGTCAGAAAGTGAATGAAAGGCTTCGAAAAGTAAGATATGTCCTATCCACTAATAAGGGTTAGATTAGACTTTTTATTTTTGACCTACTACTGGCTATACACAATCGGTCCGAATAATTGTAAAATTCAGTTCATCTGTTTAGGTTTTCAGTGTCACTTCTGTAGAGTGCAGGTTTTTCCGATTCTTTATTTAGCCTTTTTGCGAAGCTTATTCGGTATGAGAAACTGTGAAGACAATTTAGAAGGTATTTGTGAGTAGTGAGGCAGGTCATCTAATCACTAACCACAAGTAGCGCTAAGTGAACGTAGACCTTAGCATAAATGCATCACTTCAGGTCGGCATACGATTCCATACCCAGCACACTGAGGGAGAATACGCCAAGATTAGAGATAAAGATATGAAGATGAAACTAATTAAGAGTTAGAGAGGAAAGAAGACAAAATTTAATCGCTAGGAGGTTCTGTGTGATGAATAAGATCAAGGTAATATTCATCTATGCCACTGCGATCGATTCTGAGCCGTGTCACCTATAGTCTCTAACCACTGCTTTCTGTTGTCGGGCGGACTCCCTATCAAGAGTTCTACATTTCCCTAAATGGCTCTAACCAATGGTCAAAGACTTTATGCGCCGACACTATTTTTTACTCTGGTCGCTCCTTATCTCTTTTGCGGCCTCAACCTACTTCAGCTAACATTGTTCGAGGCAGATAGTGACTAGGCATACATAACACATGTCCGAGCCACTTCAGTCACTGGAGGTCCACAATCTGACCAACTGACTTCCCTCTACCTACAACTTCACCTGACTTCTATATTACTAATGTGGTGAAACCATGACACAATCTATGCTATTAAGGCACCAATGGTCAAACACCTGAAGCCTTCTCGTATCCTCTGCCTTCGATGCCCATGTTTCGCAACCATATGGTAGAACAGAGCGAATTGTGGCCTAATACACTCGACCCTCAATAGGTAATTGGATATCACACGGACGCCATAGATAGTGTATGTTGGTGAGGGCCAAGTATACCTTTTGTATCCATGCGGAGATTTCGGCGGTCATTGACCCTCCAGGGTTGAACCGACTTCTCAAGTAAGTGAAGTGGTCAACGTATTCAACCACTCAACTTCCTATTGTTATACAGGCAGTAGCTTACAAAGAAGTGGGTTAAAACAAAGCCGATATTAAGGTAGGAGGATGTGCATAAGAAGAAAATAAATAGAATAAATAAATAGAAAGTTACCGAAAATATTTAAGACCTGGAAGGTAACAGCGCGAATACTTCTCCATTGTGACAGATTTTGAGCCATGTGACCAATAGTCCTTCAAATCACACCTTTTTTTCCGACTCAAACCAACACGCAGGATTCACGGTCTTCATTTGGTTATTCTTAGCCTTCTTCCAATCCTACCCTACTGTTGATGTTAGTGATAGATAGTGACCAGCACCGTGCTGTGATTAAAATCATACGTTGCAGCATATGGATGTGTCTAAAAAACCTCATTCGACGGAGGTTCACAAGTTCATCAACTGACTTGTTTTCTCTATCTAGTGTGCTATGCGTAACCCCGAAATCGCTCATGCAGTAATTCCACCAAATTTGAGCATTGCTGCAAAGACACCTGTAATCTCTTGATATATTTTACGTCCATTGATTGCCATACGGTCCTATAATAGGTCAGTGTATGGCAGTGCAGTGTACTCGTTTTTTGATAGGTAGTCGGATATCATCGGCTTTAGAGGTGATGTCATTTGACGAATGGCTAACGATCTTTTTATGTCCGAGTTGAGATTTCGTCAGTGACTAATCTTTTCAGGGTGATGCAACCTTCCAAGGAATTCAAGTAGTTCATGCACTTCACCAATTGACTCCTTATCTTTAGATTAGTAGTTGGTTCAGATCAGTCATGAGCATTGTCTTAAATTTGATAAGTGTAAACCCATGCAAAACACTCACATCTCTCCTCAAGACGTTCAGAAAACTAGATGGTTAGCACTTTCATCCAATATGACTTTATCATCTGCGTACTGGGAGGGGACCAGTTGCCTTCGCGAGAGTAAGTCGATTCCCCTAAAATTAAAAGTAACCAGGGTTATATCTGTTAGCACAATTATATCATCGCTACATCTGTTGTGTCTTGTTATATTGCTTTGATGTGTGGTCGTTGAAGGTAGAAGAGATGAAGCGATAACAGTGTTTTGACCACAAGTGTTTTCGTAGCATTAGTCACGTATGGTGAAATCAGCGTGTGAGGAATATTGATGTTTTGTGGGAGGTACTGAGCAAGTGAAGCGAGTCAGTGGATGAGATTGTAAACGTTCGGTTACCAAGGTGGATAGGACGTGTGTTGTACATGCCGACCCAACACCTACCTCGCCGTGCCATACTAAGGTAAGTTGGATTAGTTTTGAGGAGAGCATTGGGTCGCCGAACTAAGATGTATCATGAGTAGATGAAGTCTCTGTTAGTGTGAGCGGTGTAGGGAAATGTAGACTACCTTGGTGTGGTCCGGGAGATGATAGTAATCAGTTGTTGAGTTCTATTGGTGCCATGGCTGAAAATTGGTCACAGTTGTGGAAATGTATTGATTGTTTGACTTCTTCTAAAGCTTGTTTATTTCCATCAAGCTTCATTTTCAAGTTCATTTTTCTCCCGTGAACTTTTGTTTACTGCAGTCTCTTTTCATCCACTTGTTTTTTGTACGGTATCGTGAAGTGTGGCAGCTTGAATCGATGCATTAGTGTGCGAGGTTCTACGTTGCTTTTGTCGGTCTCGTCCAAGTGACAACTAAAACCAGTGGTTAGCGACTTTAGGTGATATGGTTCAGGATCGATGTATCTACACACCGAACTCATGAAAGCCACTACTACTGAACAGATTGAACAGTTGGAAACCACTCAGGCTGATTCTGTAGATTTCTGCTTTATGGGATGAATTTATCCACCTACACGGCTTATAAGCTCGGCTTCAAATGAAGGAAACAACCGTCCGGTGTTCGGATCACTCTTATCTGGTTGGCGAAATGCTACTGATCAGCCTGAGTGGTTTCTAACTACTGAAGTTATTCAGTAGTAGTATCCTATGCTAGTTCATGACACTTGTGCTGGTGATCACATCTTTTGATCTCGACTGACAAGTTACCAGTGAAAACCTTGTTGACACTACAGATAGGCAGTTGAAAAACCACTCAGCCGAAAGCAATTTCAATGTGGATCGTGCAGCTTGTAAGCCATTTGCAAATTGATCATCCTATCCACACATCTTAATAGTTAGGCAGAATCTTGGTGTGGTTTAATCGTTCATGCTTTCTCTCTACAACTCTGTACTGCTTTTGATTACCTTTTTTCTATTTCCTTATCTTTCATCCTTGTGCCTTCTACTTAGATGTGAGATATGGAACGTTGCAGATATTCCATGTTGATGCTGACTGTTGTAACTAATCAGTTGCTTCTTGGAATTGTTTTGGATACCAACTAGTCTGTACTGTAATGTCTATTGATTGCCTAAAATATAAAGTGAGATCTCAAACGATACAGTTAAAATTTCCACATTCCTAAACAAAAAAGCAAGAATAAAGACAGGATAATCTGCTGTAAAGTTGTAGAAGGCCGAAAAAGTAGATCGGTTTCGAACAATGCACTATACTGGATTCAAAGACGAGGAAAGCACAAGTGCATCAGAGCCATTATCGTTGACTTCCGGTGGTCTTATATAATATCTGGGATCACAAAATTTACTTTCTAGGCTCATATGTGGCTTGATTGTTTATGGGATGATAAAATCCTCCGTTTTCTTACTTCAAGAACGTTACATCCTTCTAATGTACCTGATCGTTTAAAGCGATGAAGATCCATGACCTTGCCCACTCGATTTACGGCTGAATCAACCGTACTTACAATTTATTGAGTCGTGATAACAATTTCTTATTTACTCACTATTTCTTCCACTCTTTATTAACTATGTCGTTTTTATTCTCTCCTGAACAGCTGGATTCGAAACTGTTACCAAGTTTCATTCAATGGTGGCACGAAAAACGACGTAAAACTCCGGTTACCGACAATGTTATCATTCTGAAAGCCCGTCGAAAATCCTTGGCTTGGCTTGAGCTGCTAATCGTCTTAAGAATAACAAGCATAGTATGCTTTTTATGCATTGTCAGTGGTCCACTTCTAACTGAGATAGGCAAACAAACGTGTCTTGTCCATCTGTCAACAAATAAATCTTACACTCATAAGTTTATTGAAGTATTTTGGCCGAGTGTTTGTCGGCGTTATTCCCGTGTATACTGCTCAGAAATTTTGGCCTATTCACAACATCTCTCTTTATCTAATACAGGTCAAATATGGTTTACCTCTTTGATGTTGTGTTTACAGATTGCGCTGATCATTATGGATGGTTTGGAACGCCGTGGGAAAAGACAAAGTTCTAATCTTTCAATATACCGCCATGGTATGGAGTCAATGATTCTCCTGTGTAATGTTTCCTTACTCCTAATCTCTGCAAATATGCTCTTATCTTTGTTAATGAATACACACGGCTTTAACTTTGGGGATTTTACACAGTCATCTGATTCCTACAAACACATATTGCTTTTAGTTGGTTTTATCTCTGTGATTTTGATTTTAGTTATTATGTATGTGGCAGCGATATGGTTATCATTTTTTCTAAAAGATTTTAAGTCACAACAGAAAAAACTACAAGAAACATGGCCCGATAATAGTGGCTTGAAACGCCTTGCATGTCTGCAATCTAATGACAGTATGAGTTATTATTCTACACCAAGTCAGCAATCAGCAAATTTAACGACAAATTCACTAAATTCAAGCGGAAAATCACTTGAAGATGAGTTGGCTGCTGCAAGAATATCCCCAATGATGTCTACAAATACGTTTCGACCATCTGTACTCTACAACAATAATCATAACTGTCCTAGTTTGATTGGATCACAGTATTCTACTCTAAATTCTCAGTATTCTGTTACACCTTCCAACGTGTATTCAACTCATTACAAACTGATGGATCAACAAAGACCAGAATCTTGTCAACCTAATGAAGATGCTTTGAGTTGTCTGTCAAGCGTAAGTCAATGTAAAGCTGATTCTGGTTACTATACACTTGACTGCAATACAAATCATCATTCACCAGCCTACTCGTTGTCACGGTCCTCTGTTATTAAACGTAAATCTACTACATCAAAACTTAAACGGCGAACTGGTTTAATACGTTTCATTTTATTTTTACTTTTTGGTCGACTGGAAACATGGCAAGATGTACGCTTTGAATTGACGTGTTTAGCAAATGCAGTTTTACTTGGCGTTGTTATTTATTGTACGTGTCGACTTGCTTTTTGTCTTGTCAATATATTTGGTGTTTAAGACAATTGTTAACTAGTGATCTGTGGATTTTTTAAAAACTTTTATTGTCCCAATGTACTTACTGTCAGTAGTGTGAGCATTCAAGGAATATAATCTCCTGCTCCTATTGTATATATAAGTTTCAAAAAGGTGTGTGAAATATATATGTATCCACAACTTAACTAATTTGTGTTATGCACCATTCTCAAAAAACATATTTCATTCCCTAGTATGTAGTCGGTCGAAAAGTTATTTATAATTGAGAAGGCCTGAAAAGTTATTTTTGAGACTCACTAATTTAAACCCTCAATGGCAGTTTACAGCTCGTCAGCACTGCACACCCTTCATCTCTGGCAATCTAAAAACAACCAGGTTTTTATAGTGGGCACGTTGCTGTTGAGTCAGCAGGCTCTTATCTAACTATGGTATACGTAAATGTCAGTCAATATGTGAAGGCAGATAATACTATTTGATTTTTTGAAATCATGGTTGGGTGAGGAGTATTGAAAGTAGTGGTCGACATATCCCAATTCTGGTTGCTGTTATGATGTAGTATGACCGACCATCTATTTCTAAAGCAATTCATTTGCCAGTGTCAAACCAGATTTGGAGCAAAATAGGCAGTAATAGTGAAAGATATGAATGGGGAGGGGGTCCGGTCATCTTTTGAGCTTCTTAGGGTTAATAAATACTGGCAACCGTATTCAGACGTGATGATCTAATGATATTATCTTCAGGTTCTGGGTTCGACTCCTAATGGTTGTGGATTTCTGATATGTTGGGAATCCACTGAATGAAAACTATATTCAAGTTATTTGGGAAATATTCTTTGTGTATGTGTGCTTTATTTTCTGAACCCAGTGAAAGAGTTTACAGTGATATCACTATCCGGCATTGGTACGATAGTTAGGTAGGGAGGTCTGGTATCCTCTTGAAGTAGGTTTCGTTTTTATGTTATCTTTTTCTGACTAAATCAGTGGACTTATCTGGTGACTTGAACCACAGACATATTGTTCTTTCACATGAAGCAGGTTATGCTATTTTGCTTTTCAAAAGTAAAGCAGCTTCTAGATCATTACAGCTTCTGATACTGTCTCATATCTAATTACATCTTAAGTTAATGAGTTTCGTTATCTCTAGGACGCCAGTTTACACGTTTCTCATTCTCAGTAAGCGGGTAACACTTTGCACTGTACGGTAGCTTTAGAAAGATGGTAAGCATTCAATCAGAAAAGCATCAACGTAGAATCTGGTACAGAAGTGTGTGGCTTCACAGCTGGATACAGAAAAGAAGTTAATCGAAGACGAGTTATATTATGGTAAGCGAAAGTAGGTAGAAAGAGAGGGAATATATAAATAAAAGTTGGCGAAGTGTCCATTACTTCAAAGATTGCAAAGAGAGAGTACACCTACGTCATTGTAACTGATTTTTAGCCATATCACCTACAGTCTCCAACCATTGTTTCCTATTGCCTCTAGCATTCTAGTCAATCACTTTACACGCTTTACCGCTCACACCAACAGTTGCGGGCTTAATGAACTACTGCTATATCTCAATCTAACCGCACTTAGTGTTCTTCCAACCCGACTGTACGTTGAATAACATCGCATGTCCTAACGCGAAGTGGCTCAACATGTGCAACACCTCCATGCTACCTTTGTCGGTGAAGGCACTGGCTTCTTCGACTTACTTGTCTAGTGCTCTACATGTAATCATGACATTGCCCACACGGTAATTCAACCACATGGGAGACATGCTAAAATGACTACTTGTAGTCAAACGCCATTCAGGGTCGTCACACTCTCTAATATGAATCAGAAAAACTTTGTTTATTTTCCCAGTACACAGTAACTTCTTGTGAAATAATGAGGGACAGAACAAGAATGGTAGTACAGTTGAATAGCAATAATTTACATAAAATGTCATTAGGCGAAGAGGAATCGTAAGCCAAACAGATAGACAAAATCAACGTAGAACCTCATAGAGAAGTGCATCAGTTGTCACACTACAGAAGCATGTTAAGACCAAGTGAGTTGGAAAAGAATGGTACCAAAGTCGACAAAAGGGTATGAGAAGAGAAGGAATCTAAAAATCAAGGTCAATGAGAATATTTAAACTATAGAAAACGTCAAATAATGAAAACAACTCGTCCATTGTGACCGATTTTCAGCAATGACACCAAGAGTATAGAACCATGAGTTCATATTATCTCGGGGACCATCAACGAAACAGTTCGCACCCGCTTACATGGCTTACATTGACAGTCAGAGACTTCATGGTCACCTCTAACCTCCCAACCTGGTCCTACTTTGCCTACCATCAAATGTCTAGGTAAACTATGCCTCGGGATGTGCTACATATGTCCCAGCCACCTCAATCGATGAAGGTTCACAACCTCATTAACTGACTTTCCTCTTTTTCCTAAAACTCTACACCTAACTTCCGTATCCCTGACGTGAGGACACCACGACACATGGCCTATACTACGAAGTCAAGCGTGGTCAAACACTTGAAGCCTTCTCATATCCTCTACGTTTGATGGCTATGTTTCACAAACATGCAGTAGAACAGAGCGAACTGTAGCACAATACACTCGACCTTTAACTGGCAATCAGATAGCACGCTAACACCATAGTGTGTGTTGCTGAAGGCCAACTGCACCTTTTGTATCTATGCGGAGATTACTTTGACCACTGACTCACCAGGGTTGATCCAACTTCCTAAGTAAGTGAACTGGTCCCTACTTATAAATAGCGTACAGCTGAAGACCAGTCCTGGAGCAACACTGTACTTATGTGGTGGAAAGGTATTCAACAGATTCTCAAATTTGCCACTTGAGTGGTCCAGAAGACTCTAAATCTTGTCATCTGCATACTCTGAATCTACCAAGGATCCTCTTGTGATAAGACCAATCCATGCGAAGTCATACGACGAGAGGAAGACCTCCATAAAAACGTCCATGATAAAACCGAATAAGAATGGAGAGAGTGGACATGCTTGATGGGTATCACTTGACGTACACAACTCACGTGAAATATCACCATAAGGTATAACACCCCCATGGGTGTTTGAGTACAGAGCCTTCAATAGAGTGGTTTACCTACCCGGCACCCATTTCAGTGAGAGATAGTGTGGAATAATATCTCGATTAACAGTCGAATGTTGTATTTACGCTGTAATTGTGCCTGCGTCCCAAGTGCTGGACGACAATGATCTAGTCAACACACCCATAGCCAGGTCTGAAACCTGCCTGGTTTTCTCGGGTTTGGTGTTCCTGAGCTCCACACAGACGTCTAATTCTAATAGAATGTAGGATTGTAGACAACATGATCATCAGACTACTTCCCCTATGGTTATCACGTGAGGATCTCTCTCCTTTCTTCAAGACTAGGGCAATTAGTTATTGAGACCAGTCAGAGGGAATCAGATATGATTCCGATACGTTAAGTAGCACTTCAGTTAACCTTACCGATAATCCACGATCACCTTCCTCAAACACCTCCGGCACTAGACCCTCTCACCCTTTCTCATCTTAAGTCACTACAACCTTCCCAACTCCTGGAACGATTGCAGGGGCACATCTCGGTGATCCATTCACGATGTGACTGGATGGCGGAGCGATCAAAGAACAGCTAAACTGTTGTGCCTATCTTTCAAGCAAGTTAATTACAGATAAATCTTTCTCCACTATGGTGTGAAGAACTAACTGCTGACCTTTTTGTTCCGGTCTCGTTCAACAGTCTAAACAAATATCTAGTGGTTGGAGGATTCCACAATACGCGACCAATGCTACGAAGACACTTGTGGTCAAAACACTGTTATCGCTTTATCTCTTCCACCTTCAACGACCACACATCAAAGCCATATAACAAGACACAACAGATTGCAGTGTAGTAAACTCCTCCTTTAATACGTAGTCAGATATATGGCCACCCGTACCAAAAATGACGAAAGTTGGCAAATAAGGCATACGGGCCTTCTGTATCCCACCTGTGACACTGCGTCAGTAACCACCCATTTCAGGTTGATGCAACTCCCCAAGTAAGTGAAGTTGTCAACAGATTTAACCAACTCACTCAGTATCCATAAACTAGCAGTGCTTGTAGACCAGTCATGAAGCATCATCTCACATTTCATAGGAGCCAAATGTATCTCAAACATACTCACATTTCTGCTCAACCCATTCACAACACCCTACATCTTGTCAACATCTTCATCTGTCACGACAGCATCGTCTGCGTGCTCGAAATCAACCATATGCCCTCCAGGCAATAGATCAATTCATTTGATGTCAAATGTACTTATGGTTATGTCCATTAGTACATCTGTAACGCGATTAAACAGGGACGGTGACAGGAGGCATTCCTGCTGGACACCGCTAATTGTCGTCAATTCACATGACAACTCTCCATAAGCACTTACACATCTGTATGAGTCCCAACAGAGAGCTTGGATTGGCGTTATTTACTTGCTTGGTTCTCCCTTCATATTCAGACACTGCCACAACACCTCACGATCGGTAGAGTCAAATGCCGCCTCCAGGTTAAGAATTATGGTAAGTGTCAGCCATGGGTAAGCATTCTCGTGTTCCACAGCCTGTTGGAGTGAAAAATCTGACATTTTTGCAACTGGCTTGTTCCAGACTCCAAGTATCTAGAACTTAATAATATGTGAATTATGATCAACCCTTTCTAATCTTCTCTTTCTTACTAAGCATTCGTCAGTTTCCATAGTTACACTAGTTCCTTCCACTTTGGTCTCAGTCTTGGTAGCAGGTATTTGTTCACATATATCGGTCTCTGGAAACAATTCAAAACGCGGAAGGAAACTGATAACCTTATCGTTTCCAAAAGTCATAAACACGGTTAAAGAAGTATATACGGTATAGTGAGTAAGGTTTCACAAAGAAAAGCTCTCATGCTAATTCAGTTGTACTGCACAATCATATGAAAGTGATATGATGTAATTGTAGACGATAAGAGTTGTCTGATATATGTATACCATCTAGTAAGTATGACTATCATAGTGTGCTGTGGTAGCGGCAAATAATCTCTTTGAATCAATAATTTGCTTTTCAAGGATATTCGACATTATTTCTAACCTTCACAGTTTTTACAGGCTTGTTTATCTGAAGACACGCGATTGGACAACCTGACTATTCGGTACGTTCTAGTTCTGCTTTGCTTTGTTCATTCACAATCCCATAGCCAACTAGCTCACATATCTCTTTACTTAAGCGCAGTAAGACAAATATACATCCGGGGCTAGATACCAAACTGTATCTTTTCTTCGTCTCTCATACGTGAGTATTCGACATGTACAAAGAATTGATGGTTGATCTCTGTCTTTCCAGATCGCATCCACAGAATCATTTATCATCTACTTTAGCAGTTAAGCAGATATTATTATATAAGAGTTATTCACATATATGATTTGCACAGTGGGATACAAACACTAATTTTGATTATTATGAAAGGAAATTATTAGGGAGTATTATGGTAGACAAAAAATTTAAAGCACTGCTGTGCATTATTGTAGGAGATTTATTTAATGGTTAATTAATAAAAGCATAATGAGAATGAAGCGTTGATATTACCGGTATTCTGGCGTGCATTAATTTTAAGGTACTGAAACACGCTGCAGGTAAATTGTAACTGGTCCAGGTTGATTGGCTAGTGATTGCGGCTCGATCATTTGTCCGAGCTGGGGTATGCCTTCATTTTCTCCCACTTGCGTTTGTTGCCCAGATGGCCGATTATAACAAATTTCACCTTCTTCTTAGTGCTTGAATCTGGTGTGCTCTTTTCCAGTCTGGTTGCATCACTTGTCTTGTTAATTGTTACGGGCGGTTTTGACTCTTCTGTGTTAGTACGGGTAGCTGTCGTCTTAGTGAGGTTTTGTTGGACCTGGGAGATTTGCTGTACCTGTGGTGCTTTTGTTTGAATAGTTTGTGGTGTCACCCTTTGTTCATTAGATACACGTGAAATAATTGGCTTGATAGATTTTGGTATCGGCGATTTTGGTTTGTATGTTTCCATAGACAATGGGAAAACACCAAATGGAGGTTCATCGTATTGGTGCGCATAGTGGGGTTCTGGTGGTGGTAGCCTAGACTTACGTGATTTTGACTGACTGACATGCCATGGTTTCATAGGGTGGCCGAAATTTGTCTCTTTGCAAATGAATCCTTTTGGTTCATCACACGGCATGGGCTGAACATACCAATTACCTTGACCATTGTTTTGTATCTCACCGACAATGCAGCCTTGATGACTCTTTTGTAGGGTTTTTTGCCAGTGTTCTTTTTCTTTGGACGAGAACCTATGGTACTGGAAAGGTGTTCCATCTAGCCATCGTAAAATAACATATTGAGAGTTGACAAGATCTGCAACTCCTCCGAGCCATATCTCAGTTGGATTGGTGGATCCAAAATGTCGTGATAAGACTTTCTGTTTACAAAAGAAAAAAAGTTTCAGGTTATTTAGCAATCAATCTTATGGTAAATACGTCAATTGTCTACATTTATCGGAAACAGTCGTGTTATTTTAAACTGAAAACAACTATTTGGGAGTCATCCAGTTACGCTAGCCCTTTCATCATCATAGTTGTACTGCTTTGTGTACCATTTTTAGCATGTATACTGACTTTTCTGGCTATCACTTCCTGTAGAAGAAGTTTATATATAGCATATCAGTCAGTTATATTTGATGCTGATTCTAAGTCATATATCTGTAGACATGAAGCCACTTCGTTGCCTAAACATAACGATTCAGAACTAAGTAGTCTTACATAAGCTCTCTGTGGAATGGATGACTCTATACAAGGACAGATACCTTATAGTTAGTTTGTTACATTTCTATTCGAAGACGCTTGAGTGCTTTTGTTCTATTCTATACTATGTATTAAATAAAGTTCACTGAACGGACGGATTGGAAATCAGCCTATTCAGATTGAGAAGTGTACCAGTACACCTCTACCACAGGAGTTTTTATGAATTGCCATCTAGTGTACATGTTAGCCATGATACAGTAAGTTAAACCCATCTGCTGGCATCTAATCCCTTCAGTGCTTTGTGTTCTAGATTAAATTACTATTGATAGAACCTTAAGTATAGCAGTCATCATTACCAAACATAAGCATAAGATAGATTTCTATAAATTCAGGTAGTTTGTTGTTTTATATCTCGATGCTGCTATGTTAAACATCATTATGTTAGCTATGTGGAAAAAATGTTCTGTCAATTCGAAATCAACAATATCCATAGTTCTAAAAATGCTTGACTCAGTCCTTACAAATATAATGGCTTAGTAAGTGATGGCAAAGGCAATTTTGGAGATTACTAGAATAGCAGAAATAAAAAGACCTGATTGGTTATTTTAGTAGCTAATACAATGACCTTCAGAGACATTTGTCATGATAAACATTGGATATTAAACAATTATGTGGTCATTTATTAATTCCCTGTTATGCATAAAGTTTTATAAGTCACGTCAAAGTTTGGTTCTTCTTCAAGCATTAACTGGAAATCATAATGCCGAATTGAAAGGAGGAGTTCTACAACATTTGCAAATTACAGCAGCTGGTTGCGTTGACATCTTAACATAGTCAAATCGACATACTTTACAAGAGGTTAATCACGGCGCGAATACCTAAGTGATGCAGTGCAGCTAATTACAAAACTAAGTGACGCTGGTTTGATTTTCACAGGGTTTATCACTCCTCTCGAGGTTGCAGATACGCCTTACTGACGAGTGCCAAAAGAATGAAACCTAGGGCCAGGACCTATTTGAACATAAGTTTATCCGAAAATTCATGGATATTATCCAAGATGAGTGTGTTTTAACCATTCGGAAGGGGACACCAGGCATCGTTGCAGCCTCGAGTTAAGGTAATTCATAACAAATAAGCAGCATGTGCTGGATTTTGCGTAGGCTTAGCTCTGCTTCCTATTTACTTGTGTATAAGTACAATAGTTACATATACAATCAGGAGGATGATAAAGGTTTCAATAATCGTAGGTATCAAGCAACAGCGTTAACATACTCATAAAACAAAGTTGATAGGTAGACTTCTACCAGCCGTAAACATTGGTTACCCACTGGTGCCTAGTTCATATACACAGTCCACTCCTACAGGGTGTCTGTCCTTGCCTGGATAACTTGATGGAGAAGTCAGCACTGAATGACGCGAGTCCAGGTCGTCAAGGGAACACCAATTTCTTCATGAGTGCGAATAGACACGAAACGTAGATCAGCCAGGACATCTTGACTCCAAATATATAGTGCACAACAGTGTTGCAGTACTTGGCTTACTGGCCATATTTCGAAATTGATCGATATAGTTCGATTAATGCTAAGCATTAGGGACCAGACAGTTACATTAATTACCTAATGATGACTCAATTCATGTACAATAATAAATTAGTCTAGTAAAGTTCACTTACCCATTCATCATCTGATTGTACAGATGTTAAGTGTGACTCTGACATAAACGCTTGATTACAGTAACTATCAGCTTCATAATAAGGTAACTTCAATCCAATTACAAGCATATACTGACTACCACGATACTGAACAGTTTTGACTTGATTCACAGTTGGCTCGTCATTATCATACTTTGTTGAATCAGTATACATTTGCTTAGATCCATATGTTGAAGGATAGGCATTTGAATCATGACGATGACCATTATGAATTAGATGATTTGGTAGATACCATGCACATACACAGTATAATGTCTTCAAAAACAATATCATGAAAATGGTTAACACTTTCTTAGCGTGCATTCTAAGCTTGTTAAATCTGTAGAATGACAATTTGTTACGTCTGCATTCAACTTTTAAAGTTGAACTGTACTCATTCACATACAATTCAAATTTTTGACAAACTGATAAAGTGTAACAATAATGACAACTCACTTTGTATTGAAATACCATCTTGAAATCGATCGATTCCCATAAACCTCTAAGTTAAATTAGTAGAACTCTACTATGCCGGGATTACATAAGTAAAAATACACCGCATACAATGAATATTTGAAATGATTTAAAAATCAGTTTTCATTTTACCTTTGAATGAGTATTAATCACAATTTCATTTTATTGATTATTTTCGAACGGATAATACTACAATTCGACAGCAAAGTTAGGCAAATCAAACAACTTTACTTGGTTGTGACTAATAGAGGGATTCGAGAGGCGTGCGTTTCGTCCTATTCGGGACTCATCAGCTGGATGTGCCTGTACCTCAGTGAGTGATGGTTGTTTCCACTGAGACTGGGACGCAATACCCTTCGGTTCAGAGCATTATCCACTAGGACTCAGAGATATGAGAGCCACCTCTTGTGCAACGGACATAAGTTGTTGTAACGATACTTGCAATTTCCCACTGCTGTACAGGGGTGAATTGCTCGACCTCCTATATGGATGTTCGTAAACTGCCGGATGTTCATGATATTATAATGGTTTTGGTGAATAGCAAAGGAGTCCATGATGCGCGTTTCGTCCTATTTAGGACTCGTCAGCCGGATGTGCCTGCACTCTAGTGAGTGATGTTCTTCCCTCTGGGACTCGAGCGCATCGCTTCAAACGCCAAAGCGTTATCCACTGAGACGCGTACCCACCTCTTGTACAACGGGTACTAGTTATTACTATTTGTTGACATACTTGAAATTTTCCGTTGTTTTATTCGATCGAATTGTTCGATCTTTGTTGGCATATTGGTCCCTATGCGGATGCCTGGATATTGCCTGAATACTTATTATGGTGATTTACTTGGTTGCGGCTAGCAGAGAAATCTAGGACGCATTTTCCGATCCATTATAACAACGGAGAATTACAAGTATATCAACAGAGAGTCAAAATTAAACAAATGACTGCATATTATAAATCATAATTTCATGTTATTGATTAATTTGTATTGAGTTAGAGTACGGGCTGCTGTGAAGATGCCTCGATATTGCCTAAAGATTTATTGAAATTAAATTGGCTTAGTGATAGCTAGCAGAAGAATGTAGGACTTATGTTTCGTCCGTTTTGTGACTCTTCAGGTGGATGTGCATGTGGGTGTTGTCGTTCCAGCTGACAGTCACACCTACAGCACATCGCTTCACACTTCAGAGTGTTGTCCACTGGTTATAATACCTAATCCTTGTACATTAGTAGTCTAATGGATAATATTGTGGCGTTCAATAGAGGTGAGTTTTATATGCGAGGTTCGATGGAAAAAACAACACACTAGGATACAGGTATATTCAACTGATGAGTCCCAGATAGAACACAATACTGCTATCCAGTATTCATTCTTAATGCCTATATGCAGGCAGACAGACGCTTTACCAAAAGGTAGCATATTTTTTGGGACTTGATAAAGAATGAGTTCGATAGTGTTCAACATTGGGGTGTCCTAAATGGGGAGAAATAGTTTTCCAACGTCTTTAGTTCCCAGTGGCTCTTGATTTGATATAAAATCACTCGGAATATGTATAGATTAGTTGCAACCAGCCTAATGCTCAGGATATTTTTGCTACTTTATGCGGAGAATTGCAAGCTTTCTTCCACTCTTTTTATGGAAGGATAACTGCAAAATATAACCAGCACACTGTCCTCATGTGATTCTGACATCTTATACACCTCATTATCAGGATATTGTTGCACTTGCAGAAACCTTTGGGGGACTTTAAAGGTCACCAACCCAGCAACTGTTCAGACAACCAACTACGTTCCTCTACCTGATGAAAAACTACTCTCCCAGGTGGAATATTTAGACCTGATTGGTTATTTTAGCAGTTGCTAGGATGCCTTTAAGGTCACTCAAACCTCTTCTCATGGAGTGACTTTAAAGTCCGCCCTAGCAACAACTGAAATAACCTATCAGAGTATTGTATTTTATGAAGGAAGCTTGTTGGTTGTTTCGATTATTGCTAGGGTGACCTATGAAGTTGCTCAAGGAGGAGTAACTTTAAAGGCCAACATAGCAACTGTTGAGATAGCCAATTATGTTTCTTTATTTTTTGAAAAAACTACCTTTCTAACCGGAATATCGAACCCTGATTAGTTATTTCAAAACCTGTCAGGGCGGCTGTTAGTCACCCAGGTCGAGTTCATGTGAAACGCTTTAAAAAGCTTTCTTTCGTCCCCTTTTCTCGTAGAGTAGATGACAGATTACTCACTGTCCTAGTATCGTTATTCAGGATCTGAGACGTGCTCATATCATACTATAATTCGCAAGAATGAAATAACTTACTTTACACATACAATAGTTGTGTATCTCTAACAGCCAGTTATTTCTGACCTGTAAGTCGTATGGAAATAAGTAACGGGTTGAGAAAAAGCTCGTGAGCTGAGCTATGCAACAGTGTTATTCAGCAGGTCTTACTTTAATAAAATTTGCTTTAAGAAAGATAAAGTAACAAGGCTGATATTACTCACATGAGATTCCTATTTTCCTTACCTCACTCCGTCACAACACTGGAAATATTGAAGTGATATTACCTAAATTCAAGTCATTAGTATTTATCAAAGTTTACCCAACGAGAAGTTTGACAAGCTGTTGTGATTCACTGTTTATTGTAGTCACTGTTAGGAGTCCCTAAACCTCGCCTGGTTAACTAGTTCACTAGTCACTAGCCGGTCCTAAGCCCGGGTAAAGAGGGAAGGTTGGGCATAGGGCTAGCAACCCTACCCGTAAAACAAATCTAACCGCTAAAGAAACTTCAAAGCACAAACGATATATAGAAAATAAAAACAAACTTAGGAGTCCCTAGCATGAAACCGTGGACTTATATTCCACGTTTTTTGACACTAATTAAGTAAAGCTGGATAACTTGATGGGGTTGCAAGTAAATTGTGAATTCTAGTTTCCTATTTATTAGCACTCATCAGTAAGCCTCCAGCTTCATTTATACATATGATAAGGTGAAGAGTCAAAATGACTGTACAATTCTCTAGAAGTTAGAATTACACTTCGCTGATGGATATCGCCAGTTGGAAAATGTAGATCCAGAAATTCCTGATCATTAAGCAGAAAACAGAAATTGAACACAACGTCAGTCAACTACAGGTAACTAACTCTTCCTGTCTTCAGTGTAAACATATTTTCAGATGAAATTACGATACTCTTTTACATGATGTGTTTGTACTAATATATTTCATTTCGACTATCTGAGATAACCGCGGTTCGACAGACTTGTATTATTGATACTGGGTAGTGATCGAATGTGAAATGAAAATCTGGGCCGCGGCATGTACAGTATCTGCTTGGTAGCCCAGTAGTAATCCCATATTTGTCTGTAATTTTAGTTTTTTATGACATGTTATTATTTCCAACAAAAGGTTTACACATAAACATCATTTGCACAGATTTAGGGATGGTGCACTTAGGGTTGTGCGACAACAGATGGTATCCGTTAGAGATCTGAAGATATGCACAACACTCGAATGTATTATATTTTGCCCAGTTTACTAATGCCTACCAACTAATCTGCTGCTAATTTGTTATGACTTTTTCAGTACTTAAGTCAACTTTTTCATGATACTCAAGTTTACGCCAACATTAGTGATCACCTCACACCAAGCAAACTAACATTCCATATTCAACTGACATAGTTTCAGTGGTCTAGTGGTTAACGCTTTGAGGTATGAAGCGATGGATGCTGGGTTGAAGTCTCAGCGGGATTAAGATCACTCACGTCAGGCTGACAAGTCCCAAATAGGACGAAACGCATGTTCTCGATTCCTCTGGTAGCCACCAACAAGCAAACTAAAACAATGAATAATGCGACACTACCAAGGGGTCCTCATAGTAGCCCATGTGCCAACAGAGGTCGATCAGTTCAGTATAGAGTAACAAAGGGAAATCACAAGTATCAATAAATAATATCGTTAATTGGTTCTAATCCCGTTCCACGAAACAAAATTTTGGCAGGGTCACTGTATCGATTTGGATTATATAATCCTAATTTCCTCACCCCCTCCGTGAAATGGATAGTAAGATTTTCGATTGATCCGGGACAGGTGCAGAATCATTCCGAGTGCATGCATTAGGTGCTGATTTGCTAAACAAAGATTCGGTTACCAATCTCTCCTTCTACCCTGTCCTAACCATTCTATTGTGTGGTTGTGTGTAAGTGGGTAAATAGCTACGACTGAGCTTTTTTCTAAATTCCTTATCGACTAGGATCCACTGATTTTGATCTAACTAGGCTTTTGTGCTCAGATAGACTAATTAACTTTGATCGACTAATTTAACCAATGCATTTGACCTCACAGTCGTTGGAAAGGATTTAGTAAATTTGATTATTCTGCCTAATTGGATCAATAGGACATTTTATGCTACACAGCTTATTTCTAGGGGAGTTTGTAGGTTTAAATACCACTCTAACCCCAATTATATTGAGAATCCTGAGGTATCTTCCTTTGTATGGTAATACTGTAGAGGTTTCGAGTTTTCTCTTCAAAGTATTGCCACAATTATTATTAACATCATTACCACCACTATTAATACCTGTCGTTAATATTAGTCATTTTTTCTTACGATTCCCAACTAACTTATCAGCTAACTTATCGTGGTGATTGTTGGAGAATAATTATTATTACTATTTGTCCTTCGGGTTCCTAGTAGAACATACCGCTTCAAAAGCACGTCACCATTTCAACCTGGACCCACGACTGCCCACAACCTTTCATTTCTTTCTCATACTATCTCCTCCATGTCACCCTCGCCTCGGATGCCCAATTCGTCGTTTCCAATTTGGGTTCCACTCAACTACCTGGTCTGGCGCCTAGTGTTCCCAAACGATCGTCTCAGTGTATATCTAATCCAATCCATCTCGACTTTATTCTGCATTTTTGTTGGGTGATGGGTTCTTGGTTGGTTGGTTGCCAGCCAGATAGCCAGAGTTCCTCCTTTCTTATTATTATTCTGTCCATCCATCTGATCTCCGGTGTCGAGTGAGCATAGGCGGCAACTT